GACGCTTTCACAGGCTGTGGGGGTCCAGCTCCATTTATCTTCACTGTGGGCACAGGCTCCTCATTTCTTTAGGAGAGGCGATGCTTTGAGGAGAGGGATTTTACCCTTTTCCAAAGTTAAACGGGACGGTGTGGCTTCAGGTCCCATAGAGGACAGGAGCAGTGACATCTGGCACAGGGAAGCTGCTGCCAAGAAGAGGGTGAGCACCATCAGGAATGGGGCTTTCCTGCAGCTCATGCCTGGGCAATGGGGAGCCCCTCCGCCCTGGGCAGTGTGCAGCTAAGCTCGTGGCTCTGAGCTAACTGCAATCACCAACCCCGCGCACGAGATTCACCCAGCCTGCCCGCCCTGGCAGCCGCTGCTGCAGGGATGCCAAGCCCACCCCAGACCCGTCCTGGCTCATTTCTGTACGAGCAGGAGCAGTTCACCCACCATGCTCCCCACAGCCAGGGAAGGGCCGGACCAGTGCCAGCGTTTTTATTAAAAGCTGCTTACCTAGTTACTAACAAGAGGGCTTTGAAAGAACGAGCTCCAAAGGTTAATTGTGGCAGTTGTTAGCATGAGTGGGCAATGGGCTTGCTCCCTTGTTGCCGCCACAAAAGCCTGAGCCTTTCCTTTTTATGCCTGTCCCTTGTTTCTGCCAGTGCTAAATGACCTTTCCCATTTCTCTTTTCTGTTCCAGTCCCCTCATTTGAAAGCATTTTTTTTTTTTTTTAATTTTTAAACTTCCCTTCACTCCCTTTTGACTACATGCCTTGGCAAACTGTGTCTGACTGCAGCAGCAATTGCGTGAACGCACTTTTGGCCAGGAGGCAACCCCATCCCTTTCCCTGCTCCCTCAAAAGCTGGCATGGGGCTAGGGCAGAGGGAGCTGGGCTGCTTCCAGCCTCAGCCCTTTGCAGCACTTCTAAGCTGTTTAGCAAGGTTGAAAGGTATCCGCTGTTAATTTGCTTTCAAATGCTGACATTTGAGCTTTGTTCATTCCCAAGGGAAGCCAGAGTGCCTTCACCCTTACTGCCTGGAGGACAAGAAGGAAATATTGGACAAGAGCACTTGGCTGAGGCACAGCGAGGTTGAGACGGGAGGAACCCTGAGATGAGACCCTGCAGAGCTGGGAGCAGCAAGCAGGGTGAATGATCAGCGTCTCTGAAGTGTCTGATCCTGAGCAGCTTATGAACTGCCAAAAATCCCCAGCGAGTCTGTGGTTACTTTTGAAAATGTTTGCCTGGCTCCAGTGTCCCCAGGGTGGCACACACTGATCTTGATAAATCAGAGAGCCTGCTGGGCAGCGCCGACTGCCAGCCCCCAGGCTCTCCCCTCCTTCCTTCTGCACCACCATGGGCACACACACCTTGCGTTCAACTCCTGGCCCTGGGGGAAGCTCCCTCCAGAGATGGGTTTCCCAGTAGTATGTGACCCTGATTCACGAAGGACTCCCTTTCCCCACCCGCCTCCCTAATCCCCCTCCCGCCCCCTTCCCCTCGGTTTATAACATTGTCCACGAGGCAGACGGTGCCGCAGTGGTGTGGTGTGGGAGGGCGTCTCTCCCTTCATGCCTTCCCAGCGCCTAGGAGAAAGGGGGCTTGTATCTTCTCCATGAGCCCCAGTGTTTGGCAGGAGCTCGGCAGGTGTTCTCACAGCCTGGCTTAAGTTTGCTTCTTTTCCCATTCCTGCAGCGAAAGGAAAAAAAGCAGGGGATGAGACACTGCTGGAGAAGTGAGCACTGAGCCCTGTGAGGGCATCCTCCCTACTGGGGGCTTTGGACCATCCCAGCATCTTCAAAGCCTGGGCTCCCTGCTGCCCCAGGCATTGTGGAGGAGATGCTCTCCCCCCTGCCCACCCAGCCCTGCACCTCCCAAATCTCCCTCTGAGCCGGGCTCATGCCAGCAGTGAGGGCTGCTGAGCTGGGCCAGCCTGGCATCAGGGCACCCTGGCAGTACACCTTGCTTTTGGGGTAGGGAACATCCCCAGTCCTCAGATTTCATGGTCAAGCAAGGGGGATGGGACAAAAAAATGAGATTTCTCATGGGGCCATAGAGGAGAGGGAGAGCTAAGCAGGACCTTGGCCTTCCGCAGCACGTTTCCCGTGTTGGCAGGGAGGATGGAGGGACTTCTTTTCCTCAGTTCAGCTGCACAGTTAACGGGGACCAAGTGCTCAGGGGGGCTCCCATTTGGCTTGTTTATAGCTTCCTGTGGAAGAGTGAGAAAGAAGGAGGAGGATATAAGGAGACCCAGGGAGCAAAGACAGCCAGGGAAAAAAAGAAAAGCACAAACTGTCATGACATCAAAACTGATGTGGCCAAACCTAATTGACACTTTGCTTCCCGCCTCTGTCCACAATGGGACAAAGCACCAGGGATGTCCTTTCTTCCCCACGTACTGCTCCCCCCCACCACCCCCAAGCACCATTGCTGGGGAAGCCGGAGTTGCGAGAGTGAGGAAGAAGGGATGTGTACCCCATTCTCAGCCTTGTTGGTCACAGCCAGCCCCAGGGCCGGCCCTCCCGCCAGCGACTGCTTCAGCCGCTCCTTCACTTCAGTCAGCTTGAGCTCCAGGTCCACGCGGCGCTCCTCCTTCTGCCGGCACTGCTCCTCCAGCACCACCACCCGCTGCTCCAGGTCCTGCAGCTTCATCCCTGTTTGCACAAGCACACCCAGTTCAGCACCTTCACCCAGGGACGAGGCTGCCGGGCCGGGACAGAGAAGACACTCATCCTCCTGGATGGGGACACTGGGCTGCCAGCCTGGCAGTGTATTGCAGCCAGCCCTGCTCACAGCCACAATGTCACTGCCAGCCCAGTGTCCCCATCCCACCCCAGCTCTGCAGCCTGAGCATCCGCGGCTGCAGCGCTCAGATGGCACTAACCTACCTGTGCTGCCCTTCATGGCTTCCCGCAACTCTCGCTTCTCTTTCCGCAGCAACACCAGCTCACTGCGGATTGATGCTTTCTCTTTTTCCAGCTTCTCTTTCTCTGTCAGAAACCGCCTGGCATCCTCCTCAGCCCGGTTCTTCCCGTACCTGTACTGGTTGGCATCTGCACACACAAGGAGAGCCCGTCATGAAGGCTCTGGCCCTGGCTGCACCGATGCCACCTACAGTCCAGCTGAGCTAGTGCAGCTCACCCCATCACCCGTCTGCTGGAGCCAGCCAGTCCCAGCCTGGCTGCAGACCCCTGTGGGGGGAACAGCGTCCTCCCACAATGGCCAGGGTGCCCCCACTGAGGTGTGCAGCCCGGGACCCCCACTCACTTGATGCGTGCCTCTTCACTTTGACTTGTGGGTCCACACGCCGCGACTTCTCGCTGCAGGAGGAGGCATGGCGCTTCACCTGGGCTCCCGCCGGTCGCCCCGGCTCCTCCTCAGCCTGCAGCAAGGATGGGACGGAGAGCATGCTGAAACATGGGGCCATCGCGGCCTGGACAAGGCTCCCCAGGGCATCTGCTATAGCCCAGCCACAGTGAGAGGAGAGGGCAAGCCCCAGAGCCATGCTCACCTGAACCTTCTCGTAGGGAACGTCATCATACACCACGCGGGAAGAGTCTGGCCGGTGGTCCTGGGAGGAGCTGGCCCACCTGCGAGATGAGGGATGGGGGTTGCTTTCCAGGATGCCTCTGCCAGCCCCGTAGCAAGCCCTTCCATCTCAGAGGGCTTTCTGCATTGCTCTACCAGCTTCACTCATGAGTGCTCACCCTACCCTACCCTACCCTACCCTACCCTACCCTACCCTACCATGCGTATCCCCAGGTCCTTCATCAGTGCTGATGAAACACCTTCTGCTTTCTAACCTGCATGAGGGAACCCCTAGCCCCTGGGATGCTGGCTTTCCCCGAGACCACAGTACAAACCATCTCCCAGCCTGTGCCTTTTCAAGGGGATGATCCCCAGCCCGACGCTCTGCCCGTACAGCCCCTTCCCAGCCTGTGGCACAGCAGGAGGACAGCCTTACAGGTAGGAGTGCCTCACAGCCGTCACGATGTTGGCAATCGTCTCCACATCCACATAGTCATAGTGCAAGGCCTCCGGTGCCGTCTGCGAGCCCGTCTCCACCAAGAGGAGACCCAGCCAGCGGCCCAGGTCTTCAGAGCAGCTTGCCTGTAGGAGAGCGAATGGGTTGTGATGTGTGCTCAGCTCCTGGTCCCTCACCCTGCCCGCCCCGCTGCCCGCTCACCTCCAGCGCAGCCACCTCCTGCCCATTGCGAAGGATGCGGAAGGCAAAGGGGTGTTTGGGGCCCAACCCTGGGACCACCTCACAGCCCCGGAGGACGATGGCATTGACGTGGGTCCTCAAGTCAGTGCGGTCCTTGTGGAAGTAGAGGGTGTTGCCTTTCAGGCGACACCAGCGCTCCTTCCAGCACTGGTTAACCAGGACGCTGAGGTAGCCTGGGGGGGGACAGGGCCAAGAGAAGGGTCTCAGCGGCTGCTTGGCCAGACTTCAGGCAGACTTTAACAAGACATGGCTTCCCAGAGATTATGGCATGGCTCCCTACTCGTTTGGTCCTTCTGTGCCTTAGCTTCCCCATAGAGAGCCAGGTGGAACACCCTGGGCCCAGGTGAGGTGCCAGCTCAGTGCCACACAGTCACCCAAGCCTGTTTTCTGGGACATGGATGACCCCTTGCCCCTTCCCCAGGCACCAAGGGAATGTACAGAGCCAGGACCAGGCACCATTTCGGACCCCGAGCT